CCAGGGCGGGGACACCACCTCTGCTCGGCACCCAGGGCGGGGACACCACCTCTGCTCTGCACCCAGGGCGGGGACACCACCTCTGCTCTGCCAGGCCTGCCTCCAAGGCTCTGAGGAGGCACTGACTTCACTGGTCGCAGTGCCAGCGAGGGCTGCACACCTGGGCCTTGTCTGCAGCCTGGGCAGCTCCTGGTGCTGCCCTTCAGCCCAGCTACTCATTGCCGCTGCATCTTTGGCGAGGTTTTCATCTCCAACCTTTCTTCCCATCTCAGCCCTTTTGTTGGCCCGGGTCCCAGGATGCTGGCATCGGTGCTGACAGGCCCGCTCCTCTCATCGGGGTGGCTCTGGCCTGTCCCCCAGTACCTGGACGGTCACTTTCTATAAATAAGGCAGCACTAATTTTTGCTATAAGAAAAAAGAGGCCGGGCGCAGTGGCTCCCGCCTGTAATCCCAGCACTTTGGGAGGCTGAGGCGGGTAGATCCCCTGAGGTCGGGAGTTCAAGACTAGCCTGGCCAACGTGGTGAAAACCCCATCTCTGCTGAAAATACAAAAATTAGCTGGGCATGGTTGCAGGTGCCTGTAACCCCAGCTACTCGGGAGGCTGAGGCAGGAGAAATGCTTGAAGCCAGGAGGCAGAGGTTGCAGTGAGCCGAGATTACACCACTGCACTCCAGCCTGGGAGATAGCGAGATTCCGTCTCAAAAAAAAAAAAAAAAAAAAAACACGTGCAAGCTGGTGGGGACACCAGAAGCCTACCAAGAGTGGATCTGCCTGCTGGCATTTACTAGGCGGGGAACACCCCCTAAAGAGGGCTTAAAAAGCATCTCCCTAGTATGGGGTGTGCTAGCACAGGGTGCTGTGTGGCAGAAGCTCAGCTGCTGGGCCCTGCTGCTGAGAAGGCTGCTCTGCCCACGCCTGGTCCCGTGGGCAGTGCCAGCCATGGATCCCTGCTATCCTGGGCTGGAACCTGGGGCCCTGTCCCAGCCCTACCTGCAGCTCACTAACCCTCTCTGGGTTCTGCTTAGTGTCTGAAGTGATGGGAAGACACAGGGTTGGTGGCTGTAGGGGACCCCGGGGGCGGTGGAACCCTTTGGGAGACCAAGTGTTCTTTCCCAAAGCTGCGCGGGTGCCGTTGCCTGCGGGGTCCTGGCTGTGGGCTGGGGTGAGGCTGCATCTACTTCCTGTAACAGCCATGGCTGCCTGCGGGGCCTGGCCTCTCACTGGCAGATTCTGCACATTCCCTGCAGGCACAGGGGTGGGCAGGGGTGCCTGTGGCCTCGGAGGTGCAGCCAGCTGTCCTCGGCTCGGATGGCCCACAAGAGCCCCCAGCTCCTGTTCACTGCTCTTCCAGTTAGTGATCCCTGTGTCAGTGTCATCGTCAGAGCTCCTGGGCTTGGCGGGGCTGGAGAAGGGAAGGTGCTGAGGAGGGCAAGATGAGCGCAGGTTTTGTTGAAACCACCCGACCTGCATTTTCAGGGGGATGAGGCCACTGCCTTGGCCCAGGGACCTGCAGGCTTGGGGGACCCCCTGGATGTCCGCTGAGCTGTGGATGAAACATCACAATGTGGTGGCAAAGGAAGGGGGACACCCCCAGACTAGGGGGTGGTCCTGCAGGGATCCCAACCCCTTACCTACCTAGTTGAGATGCCCATGGGGAGCAACCCCAATGGCACGTCAGAGTCCCTGGGCCTGCAGGGTCATGCTCTGTTGAGGGCCCTTCCTCTAACTGGCGAGCTTATTTACAGCTGAGCTTGCCTGGTCAGATGGGCCCAGTGGCTTTATCTAATAAAGGCCGGACATGTCCGCTTCATGAGCATCTCTGTTTTGAAGTCGTATTTTTTAACTCTTGATCCAATGCTTGGATCAGGAATAACCCCTAGATTAACAGTCGGGGCACAGGGCATAAAAGTGCAACACTGATTAAAGATACCGTAATCATATCCATCGTTTTCTATCTTAAAGAACAGTTTTTGCCTGGCAGTAAAAGGCACAGGGGAGGCCTGGCTGACCACGACGCTCCCCGCAGTGCCCTGAGAACCTAAGCCTGTGTCTTTGTCACAGGCCCTCACCAGCTGGGCCAGGAGTGGCTGGATTGGGCTCTTCACCTCCCGAACTGAGCTCACCTAGTACCTAGGGCTTGTCAGGGGTCCCGGGGGAGACAGGTGTTGGCTCAAAATCAATGATTTCTCCTTGCAGATGGGCTCAGTGTGAATGCAGGTGGCCCTCAGAAGGGCTGTCCACGTTCCTTTAGGGAGCCACCTGCGCCAGACCCCAGGCTCCCAGACCTGCCCAGGCTCCCAGACTTGCCCAGGCTCCCAGACCTGCCCAGGCTTGGCACACAGTCCCCTGGGGTGACTGTGCAGGGGAGACAATTCCATGCCTAACAAAGCCCCCAGGTGATGTAGAGGCCTGCAGCAGGCATGGGGAGACCTCTGCTGTCCACAGTGCCTGCACCCTCACTACCTGACACCTGTCCTTGACCAAGGTTGTGGGCCTCAGCTTAGATGGGGCAGGCATTGGACCTTTTTTTTTTTCCCCCCTAAGACAGAGTCTTGCTGTCACCCAGGCTGGAGTGCAGTGGGGCAATCTTGGCTCTCTGCAACCTCTGCCTCCTGGGTTCAGGCAATTCTCCCGCCTCAGCCTCTCAAATAGCAGGGATCACAGGCACGCACCACCGTATCCGGTTAATTTTGTATTTTTAGTAGAGATGGGGTTTCTCCATGTTGGTCAGGCTGGTCTTGAACTCCTGACCTCGTGATCCACCCGCCTTGGCCTCCCAAAGTGCTGGGATTACAGACGTGAGCCACTGGGCCTGGCCTGGAACTTGGTTTTATTCACCTCTGGTGAAACATAAGCTCACTTGGTGCTCTCCGGCATCTTTATTCCCATCTCCTTAGGCTGACCCTGACAAGTGCCAGGGCCAGGCTTGGACCAAGCAGTTGACTGAGTCAGCCTGCCCCGGGAACCAGGCGGGGGAGGGAGCTTACGGATGGGCTAGGTTCGGGGGAGTAAGAGAGAGCAGGTGGAGGGCAGAAGTCTGTGGCCACAGAGGCAGCTGAGCATGAAGGATGGAGCGTGCTGCTGTCCTGCAGGTGCCCTTAGCCCTGTTTTGCACTGGGGGATTGATCTGCCCAGGCACACAGGGAGATGGCACAGCAGAACCCGCTGCCCAGCCTCACTGAGGGCATGCTCCCCGCCTTCCTCCAGAGGCTGCTGGGTGGAAGCTGAGCGCTGCAGCAGTTGGGGCCAGCATGGGACTGGAGGCCCAGGTGAATCTTGTGGGGCAGGGGATGGAGCTAAGACTGCCTGGCCTGGGCCCTCCCCACCCAAAGGCCCTAGAACCCTAGCCTTCAATCCTGGAGCTTTGCTTCTCCCCCAAGTCCTGGCTTTCCTGACTTGCTGCCTTTTAGGGACATGTGGAGGGGACAAGTCCTACCGTCAGAGGCCAGTGTGGTGGTGCCAGAGCCACGGGGCATTCCAGGACCCCTGACCTAGGTGAGGGGCAGGAGGGCCCAGAGCCACCTGGCCACTTGTCAGGAGCTTAGGATCAGGAGGAAAGAGGGAGACTGTATCCCAACTAAAGCCAGGGGTCTGCATTTGTCCTGGCTGGCCAGGGC